CTGTCCTTTGCCAGAAGCCTCAAAGGCATTCAGAAAATAAAGGGTAACATATCACAGAAAGCTAGATTCCCCTTTGGGCTAGCAGGACAGAAAGGAACCTTTTGTACTCATGCATTGCAGAGCTTCACATAGCGATGAACAGAAGGGATCAGAATGCAGCCCTGGCATAAGGGTTCAGGCCCTTTTTGGCCCCTTCCACACACAAACATCCTGTAAATATAAAGGCCTCCGTTGTCTCCTGGGGTAGTGGTAGATGGCATGAGTGCAAAATCAGGAAGCGAAGAAAAGGAGCAGAGATTTTCTCATGGCCCAAAACAAGCTGATGGAGTGAAGCCATCTCATTAGCTTGTAGACAGGACTGGAAGAAAGATAAATTCAGCTTGGAACAAGTTCTTTGACAGCTTTGGAGAAACAAGCTCTTACATTTATATACGTTTCCTTTCCAAGATAGGCTTCGGATAAATTCACCGGCACCTCTTGTAAAAGACAATTATGGGATGCAACAAGAATGAAAGGTCAAGGTAATAAATATCCTATCTGTATGGATCAAGATGTCCGCAGAACAACATATTGCCCTTTGCCAGACCCACCAAAAATATTCAGAAAATAAAGGGCAACATACCACACAAAACTAGCTCCCTTTTGGCTGGCAGAACAGAAAAGAACCTTTTGTACTTAGGCATTGCAGAGCTTGACACAGTGAAGAATCAAAGGAGTCAGTATTATGAGGCATCTGAGATCCATAGCCCTACAAGGGACCTACTGAGAATCACTGAGTCACCTTACATTACGGCTCCTTGCTGAATACACAGCATTCAATTATCATCCCTAAACAAAAAGGCACAGAATTCCACCCCCACCCCATCCCATATACAGATACTGATGGGACAGATGCTCATTCTTATTTCAAAACTGGTCGAGGCAGTAGTTCCTCAGATGTTGTTGTAGATCAACCCCCGGAAGTCCCAAGCAACATAGACAATGCTCAAGGATTCTGGGAGTTCAGACATTTCTTGGGACCCAGGTTATTCACTGGGATAAGGTTTGGCATCTTCTACCAAACTGCAAAGCCACAGACTAATTAAGGGGGACCAGGCCAAACCCCACATTTGCTGCCTAATGCAACCTCCTGATTCTGTATAATGGCACGTCCGTGTGATGCAGTGAGAAGAGGGCTAGGCTAGGACTGGGGAAGTTCAGGTTGTAGCCCCCACTGAGCTGGGAAACTCACTGCATGACTTCGGGTAATTCGCATCCTGCTTTCATACAGAACTGCCTCGTAGAGGTATTGTTATGAGAAGAAAAGAGGAAGAAGACAAGCCATATACAATGTCTTGGCTTTCTGGAAGGAAGCTGAGCTATGAAGACAACCAACAATTAGTCAATTAATAGTTGGTACGGCTAGCACAATACATTTGTGACTAAATGCAATCCAAGATGGCTTCAATACAGTCTAATAGCTTGGAAGGAGTTTGGTACATTTGTTTTTCAAGCACACATATCAACATTCTGCCAAAGATATCCTGAAGTAGTTCTGTTGTGGGAACAGTAACAGGGAACAGTAGGTTTTTTTATCTTCAGTGGACACGTTCCCATTGGATCTCTTGCTTAGTTCCTGGAGCAGACAAAACACAAAGTGTCTAGGCAAATGCAAAGGAAGGCAAGCAATACTCTCAGAAATCAATTTTATGGGCACATGATTCATTCCAGGGAGAGCATACCAACGCATCAGGCTTCTTGTTTGTCCCCAGTTAATTCCTTCTAGTGATCACATAATTTTTATCATAGAACCATTTCAATCTACTATGTTTTTCTAAAGCATACTTTGCCTAGTATAGAAACCTATGATATCAAGTCTCAAAATTTCATATACATCAGTGCAAAATTAAAACTGTTATAGCTTTTTGGGTTTTCCAGTGCAAGTCAATGGGAATTGATAAACTGATCTGGATCCAAGACGCAAATTAGACTGGATATATTTGGAAGCCTGAAATAGCTTACAAATCAGATTGAGGGACTTTTGTACTCATAGGCTTTCAAAGTGATTTAAACACAGAGAATATGAAGAGAAGGAGTAATGGAGTAACTTTAGTTTGGGAGGGAAGATCAGATCATAGTGGTGGGGACTGGAAACCTGAACAAGAGAACATTCAGTATGTATAATATAAGGAGGAAAGGAATATGAACTGAAGGCCTGAACTTGGAAAGCATGGATATTCTTACATTTCATATTGTACTTCTCAGAACCCCCCCAGCCAGCAGTGGCCATAAGAAAATTAGAAGTCCAGATTCATCCCCTTCCACCTGTATGCAATATAAGACTAATGCTTTGCTTGATTTCTACTGGAAATTCTATTTTGATAGATAAATATGAATTTGCACATTATTTCTAGGAAGGAGAAGAATGGATTAATATGCCAACAAGTAAAATACAGCAAAAGACAACAAGTTTCCATCTATTTTTCATATTTAAAGGGGGAAGAGAAAAAAACAGAACAGAACAAAACGTCCATGGTCATTTCTCCATTACAAAACTTATACCTCCTCAGCAAGTATTGGAGACCCAAGTTCCAAAAAAGTGATGTCCTTCATACAGCCAGCGTTGAATGCTCCAGAGAACCAAGGCTTTAGCCAACAGGTATCCCCCATAGATTTCAAACAGATGCAGGCATGACAAAAATCTAATTGCTAGTTCTAAAAGAATAAACATGTTGCATCCAAGTGCATCCAATTGAGTCAATGAAGTTGCTTGGCAGGCATGACAAAAATCTAATTGCTAGTTCCGAAAGAATAAACATGTTGCATCCGAGTGCTATTTACTGTTCTTCAATTGAGTCAATGAAGTTGCTTGAATCAAAAGTTGCAAGTGAATATAAGCCATAGCCTTGTACTGATTCACATACACAGGACTCACAAGATTTACAGTCATGTGGAAAAGAAAATACACCCTCTTTGAATTCTATGGCTTTATGTATCAGGACAGAACAAATTCCATTTGTACACCCTCTTTGAATTCTATGGCTTTTATGTATCAGGACAGAACAAATTCCATCGGTCCTTAGCAGGTCTGGAAATTAGGCAAATATAATCTCAAATGAACAACAACACATGACATATTACATTGTGTATTTATTTATTTAACAAAAAAATAAAGTCAAAATAGAGAAGTTCTATGTGTGAAAAACTAAGTATACCTTATGATTCAATAGATTGTATTTACCTAAATTTCAGACCTGCTACTGACCGTAGAATTAAAAGAGATTGTATATACCTAATTTTCAGACCTGCTACTGACCATAGAATTCAAACAGGGTGTACTTTCTTTTTCACATGACTGTATGCCTCTGTTTATTATGTCCCGTAACAACAATTAAAAGTGTACAGTACTTTCTTTTTCACATGACTGCATGCCTTTGTTTATTATGTCCCGTAACAACAATTTTAAAAAAACAGAGCTAAGTGCAAACACCAAAGCACCACTGCATTATGATAAAAGCATTCATTTCACCTTTCTCAAAACCCAGCACTGTTCAGGATTTCTTCTGTTTTTGGAGAGTGGGGTTCCCTAAGAAGCTGTCTGAGCCAACTTCTGCATCATTGACAAAACAAACAAAACTCCACCAGAAATGTATTTTTCAAAAGGAATCAGTGAATCCAAGGAAGCACTTTGCAACTGACAATCTGTTAGTAAAACTGAAAATAAATTTCATAAAGAAGTTTTAAAAGTGATAATTTAAATATCATAGATAACATAGATATGTTGTAAGCCGCCTAGAGTGGTCGAAGATAGGCGGACTAGATAGGCAGGGTATAAATACAATAAATAAATAAATAAATAAAACTCCTTATATGATGGACTTCTATTTGCATGCCATTATAAATAATCCTGGTAGTCATTAATTTTAAAGGAATTTGGAGCCGTAGCTGTGTGCCACTGTTCCTTTGTCCTGCTCCACTCCAACACACATGTAATTCTTGGCAATGATTTTCTTTTAAACATATTTTTAATGTTACATTTCCTGGTAAAGAATGGCACAAAGGTTTTGTATTTGTCATTAAAACAATAAAATTAATACAATGCTGTTAAATGTCTTGCGGTTCAGCTTCATCCTACTTTATGCATATAGTTTAAGTATCATACTGGGAAAAAAAAATCTTTTGGGACATTTACTTGAAGTATTAACTGCCTGTAATCATGTAAACATTTTTCTCTGACAGATTTTCTTGCCAGTACTCAGCAACAAAAGAGAAGATACACAATCATATTAAAATAAAGGACACAGTCCTGAAAATGATTTAATTTGTGCCCAAATTCAACTTAATTCTCCTCCTGCTGAAACATTACTTTGAAAATTCATTAAGGCGAAAAATGGAGAGCCCAAGTAGCAATAATGGGGTCTGGGAAGTAGCAACAACATCTGACCACTTGAAGACCAAATATATGACAACTCCTTGATCAAGCGTAATTTATACATGGTGGGCATACAACACATCATAAAGCTTTCCATTGCCTGAGGATTGTCTCTTTATTATTTCAGTCTGGCCTCCTAGAAGATTTACTGCTTTCAGCAAATATTTTGTTTTACAACTTCAGGGACTTGTTTAATTAATTCAGTTTCATAAATTTAATTAACACTGCAATCCTATGCGCACTGGAGAATAAGCCCCATTAAACTCAATAGGACTTCTTGCCAAACCAACACACATTTTATGTCTCTCCTGGATCTTGAATGCACCATGAAAGCAACGAATGACCAAAGACAGCTGTTTTACACCAAATCAAACTATCGAAAAGCCTGACAGAACAACAACAGAAACAAAATGGAAACTCGTCCAGCATTTGACTGCTATCATTCCAGAACTTTCACTTCTGTTCTTCAATAAAACAGCAAGAATCAATGAAAGAGTCTCTCTCCTTTACAAGAACATGCTTTCCGCATTCAGAAATATATCCAATAAACAACTGATCAAAACCACCGATACAATGCAATAGAACTCACGCAAATTATTCGGAGGCGGTCTTGTCTCCATGTTCTCATAATGTTGTACATGAACCACAATGTTGAGATCTCTGTCCATATGATCTGTTGTGCACGGAGCTTCTGGACGCATAACATCAGCCAGAGCTCTAAAGGATTGTGAAAAGAGAAAGGATATTAAACACAAATGTCTGAAGAAACCTCTTGCTCTTTTGCATTGGGAATAGAACTCGGAATTTTTATTTTGATATAATCAACTATTCTTTCTAAGTTGTAGAAAGGGTAGCTGTGTTAGCCTGTGCAAGCATTATAGGTAAAAGCATAATTTAAAAGAAGTACAGTACATATATTAAAAAAGACAACAATGTGGTGGCACCTTAAAGCCTAACTTTTATATTTTTTTTAACGTGAGCTTTGTGGACAAGTCCGCTTTATAGGTAAAAGCATAATTTAAAAGAAGTATACATATATAAAAAAGACAACAATGTGGTGGCACCTTAAAGCCTAACTTTTATATTTTTTTTAACGTGAGCTTTGTGGACAAGTCCGCTTTATCAGACATAAGAGAACTTAAGAGACGTAAGAGTTCTTATATGCCTGGTGAAATGGACTTGTCCATGAAAGATCACATTAAAAAAATATAAAAGTTAGTCTTTAAGATGCCACTATGTTTTTTTCTTTACTTAAGAGCACGCCAGGCCCTCCTGTCTTCTACTGCCTCCCGGAGTTGTGTCAGGTTCATGTTGGTTGCTTTGCAGACACTGATATTTTTGTCTTTTTTAACTTGTTTTTATTTTGTGTTTATCTATATTCCTTCTAAGAGGGAACTCAGGGGTCCCCTGCCTCAAGTTGGCCATGAAGCTTCTGAACTCCAAAGAGGAGGTTTATCACTAATCTATACCCCCTTCCCATAAAATAAATATGGGAATGCTCTCATGTGGGTCAGAGTTCCCAGAATCCCCCAGCCAGCATGGCCATTGGTCAGGCTGGCTGGGGGCTATGCTGGCTGGGGGATTCTGGGAGTTGTCATTAAAAAGCTCACAAACTCTCACTTCAATGTACAATGAACAGAAACAGAAGAGTCGTTCTCCATTGGATTCTGTCCTGTCCACTCTGACAGGCACTAATTATACATATCTGAGACAATGATTTTTTAAATTTTTAACGACCTAGGCATTTTAACACTGGGAAAAGCCAGAGCCTGAATCTTCCATATGCAAAGGACATGAGCCAAGATTCTACTAATACATTATGGGATGGAGTAGTATTGCTTTTTGTGTTTTTGTTCTCTTTGTAAAATGTGTCTCTGATCTTATCAGCTCCTCGTTTTTGTTCTCTTTGTAAAATGTGTCTCTAATCTTATCAGCTTCCTTACTATTTTAATGTCCAGGAAGAGCCACCGCTGTTTTCAGAGATGCAGGGAGAATCTAAAGCAGTCCCCTGAATTGGAATACAAGACCCTTGCTAGCAAGGATGGGGTCTTGAGTCATGTGACACACTGTTAAATTTAAAGCAGTCCCCTGAATTGGAATACAAGATCCTCGCTAGCAAGGATGGGGACTTGAGTCATGTGAAGTCGGACTTAAGTCATACTGGTGACTCAACTCAGACTTGACTTGATTCCCCCCCCCCATGACTCAGATTCAACTTGTAACTCAGAAACCACTCTCCCCTTCCCTCTTTTGGAGGGGAGGGGGGAAGCTTGTTTTCAATAGGGACTTGGACTTCGGACTTGCCAACGTCGCTGCTTGCTAGATATCCAACTGCAAATTTAGTCCCAGAATTTGGAAATGTTACTTTGTTCGGGCTTCAGCTCCCAGAATCTACTCCCAAGGTGCCCACTAAGAATTGTGGTTTTAAAAAGAAACTCTTCCAAGCCCAGTCTTATCCAGCATCTGTGTTTCCATAGCAGTCACCTAAGGACATATGAGAAGACACAAACGCAACAGCTGTGACCCAATGGCTGTTACTGAGAGCCCACTGCCTGCACTCCGGGAGGTAACAGACCACCATTATAACTAACAGCCATGAATAGCTCTGCCCTCCATTCATGTATTTATTTCCCCTTCAAAGCCTTCTAAAGAGATGGTTCTCTCCACTAGCAATGTGGATCACTGTCAATTTTTGTTGTGTCTTCATTCCTTAGCACCCCACCAGCATTTTCAACCTATCCAAGTTGAGTGCTGAGACTTTTTATTTTCTTTTTGCACAGATATGTGTGCCTACAGTGGGGGCTTGACTTGAGAACTTAATCCGTATTGGAAGGCGGTTCTCAAGTCAAAAAGTCTGTAAGTCAAGCCGTCTGTAAGTCAAGGGTCCACTGTATTTGGATATACAATGTTCCTAATGCATATATTTTATGCATTTTTGTTAATACATAATTTTATTTGTTTTCCAATTGTTTTTTATGCATTTTCCAAATATACACAGTCCATATACAATTTACTTGCACAGAATGAGAAAAAGAGAGAAAAAAGAGCCTAATGTTCACAGTGTCTTCCTGATAACAGGAAAATGAGAGAGAAGACATTGTTCCCTTAATATTCTTGCAATTTGATAATATTGATATAGTTTTTTAAAAATTGGTTAATATTCATTTCCTTTTCATCCCTAATCACATTTTGTGGAAGTGAATTCTGTAGCTTTTTTATACTTTATATAATGCAGTGTCACAATGGGTCTTGCAGGAAACGGAAAACGAGAGATTAATTTCATTGAAGGTAACATGTCCTAAATTTGCTGGCTTGTATCCACTCCCACCCACAAGAATGTATAATTTGGGGAAGTACTTGTCTTGACAATGTTTACAAGGTAGCTTATGAAAAACATTAGAACAATTTTATTGCAATAAAAACACTGCCCTCAACAGATTTAAACATCAGCTTTATCACAGACCAGCGGGACAGCTGTCCAGTTTAAAACAGGAGCAGGATCATTACTATCAAATGCTATCAAATTTAACTCTTAACTGAGCAGGAGACTGTGTAGCTGGCAAGTGAAGAGCATCAGAAAGACTCATAGACAAAATGAACATTCAGTCATTTAAGCTGGGTCACTTTTTAAGGGGACTTAGCTAGTTAGAAATTGCTAGGTATTTTTACTGATGTAAAAACTTGGTATTTTGTTTTTCCAATCTTTAAAATGTTTTAGTTGCACTTGTTCTATTTCAGTTTTTTTCACTGTATTAGCATCCTCATTTATGTCACAGGGCAACCTGTCACTCCTCTTATCGGACCCTTAAAAAGTAATTTTTGGACCACAGTGTCCCATATCCCCCAACCAGTTGGCCAGCGATTGCCAGACCGTTAAACCAAAATGCCAATAACTAAAAAAATCAGAGCCTTTATTATGGACCCCTTGAACACGGTGAGGGGACAGGATTCAAATCTGGCATACAATTAAAAAAAGTTTAGCATGTTGTAAAAATATATATCAATTTATGTGTAAGAATACCAATCTAGAAATTATTCCAGTTCTTTAGAGTGACAAACAGTACAAACCACACCATAATGGAGAAGACCTTGATCCGATGGCCTTGGTACCTCTTGCTCAGTCTGCTGTCCAGACTTGGGACTGTCCAGGTAGCATGTACCAAGAAGACTTCTATTATGTTCTCCCTTCTTTGGGTTTGTTACATTTAAACCAAATTTGGATTAGGGCGCCACTGGTTCTTAACCTTTGTTACTCAGATGTTTTTGGACTGCAACTCGCAGAAGCCTTCACCATCAGCTCTGCTGGCTGAGGTTTCTGGGAGTTGCAGTTCGAAAACACCTGAGTAACAAAGGTTAAGAACCACTGGATTAAGCAACCCTTCAAAGGGAGGATTAAGTCTGCAAGATGAGCAGAGCTGGGTAGACCTGTAGTTCTCTAGATGCCAATCCTATCAGCTGTAGCAAGAATGTCAATTGTGAGGGATTAATGGGAGTTGCAGCCGAACATCATATGAAGGAGTCACACATTTCCCATTGTGAAATCTTGCATCTAAAGCAGGGCATGTGACCAGTCTTAGCCCATCTTGTAGCATGGCTTGCATAACACCTAACCAAGCCCTGCTCCATGCCACAGACAGATGTGTAGTGAGCAGAGGTGGGGGAAGGGGAAGGGGGGAGATTAAAACCAGATTTTACTCCCAAATGGCTGGAAGTCTCTCATGCATACGCCTCCGTGTCTAGCTAATTACACACGATATTCAGTGAATTCCTGACCGTGGGCAGTATTATGTCATTAAAATGTCAGATAGATTTCTGATCACCAGGTTCTTTTAAAAAATGGGCTGGCTCGCTTGCCTGCTGCAGCCAGTTTTAAAAGAGGAAAAGAAAAAGGTTGCCCAAATGAGTTTCGAGTGTTTGAAACTGCACTTCAATAAGGAAGAAAAATGTGTTGAGATCCACCATAGCAAAGCTGGACTACACAGCTGAGAAAAGAATGCCACTAACAGAGATTCCAGGTAGTCAGGTGCAGTAATAGGCTCCTAAAAGGAGAATATTATTATAATATAGCCTGAAGTTATGGACTGATCCTGAATAATCAACAAATTATGTACAAGCTACTGTACATATGGATCCTATCAATTTAAACAGAGTATCTCAGTGCAGAAGAAATAGGCTAAAAATTGCTGGAGGTAGCAATATGCCGCCTAGAGTGGTCGAAATGACTAGATAGGCAGGGTATAAATACAATTAACAACAACAACAACAACAACAACAACAACAACAACAACAACAACAACATGCCGATCAAGAAAAGCGAATGTGAAGACAGAAACGTGGATGGTAAATCTTTGGTAGTTTTACATGGCAAATCAACTGGAGGATGCACGTGCTGTTTTAGACAGTTGAACATGGGTCTAGATTGCTGTAAATCCCAGGTTCAATCCCTGGCATCTCTAAAGTATCAAGTAACAAAGGATAGGAAAGACTAAGTACCTGAATCCTGGAAAGCTGCTTTCCGGAAGCGAACACAGCAGCAGGCTAAGTGTGAAAAGAGTCTTGCTTGTTACTAAAGAAGCTTCCTATGATTCAGATTTAGCCTGCCCATCCAACAGATTCTGGTGCCCCAACACGAGGAGTGCATTTAGTAACTGCATCCATGTCGTCATGGTTTTCTTAGCTTTGTCATGACATTCTTTTGCCGATATACCAAGTGCACA